ACCAACATGAATTTGACACAACTACGGGAGGCAGTGGAAGACAGGAGGGCCTGATGTCCTCTGGTCCATGGGGCACAAAGAGTCGGATACGACTAAACAACTAAACAACAACAACAAAGGTTAATTTTCACTCTGGTGGCAGATAGGCTGAAAGTCTATGCTGAAACTTTGTTTTCTGTTCTCTTACCAAAAATTGCATCATGTTCCCCATCTTGAATCCCTTCCTGCTTTTCCCCTCTTAGATGCCACTTCTTTTCTCCCCCGTTTTCCATTTGTCTAGGCAGAGGACTGAGGAAAGGCCTCCATCACGCAACCATTTTAGCCTCAGAACCCTTGTGTCTAGTTACTATGGAGACCCCTGCTGGAACCTAAGTCCTATTGTTTCTTCCACCATCACAATATGATTACAGTAGTAGTATTACCGTGTAAAGTTGGGCTGCGGAATACAAAGCCTTCCAGATGTTGCTGGATTGCAACTCCCATCAGCTCTAGCTGTTAAAACCAATGGTGATGGGAACTATGGTTCAGCAACATCTGGAGGGCCATCTGTTTGTATGTCTGATGTAGAGGCTCACGGACTCAAGGAACAGAGCCTTCTCAGTAATGCTACCATCTTGTGGAACCTTCCAGCTGAGGCCTGCCCAACCATCACTTCAGGCCTTCAAGAGACCCCTCCAGGGTCACTGTGACAGAGGGGCCATTGTGCGGTGCTATCTGGTTTTCTTTTTGCTTTTATTTATTTATTTATTTACAATATTTTTAGCCGCACCATTTTACTGTGGTTCATCTTTGAGCCTTTTAAATTATTGCTGCTTGCCACCCTTTGGAAAGTTTGCCTTTTAAAAAAGCTTACAAATATCATAAATGTATTTAAAACAAATAAAGAAAGAACTACATCCTTTGTTTCATCTCCAAGGAAAAACATGTATGCTCCAGGAACATTGTCACGAATGAGAAATGCATAGCAAAGCAGACCTTTGATGAAATCCCATCCTTGGGAATGAAGTACAGTAGGCAGTGTACACATAATGTGTGTGCTCCCCTACCCCAAGATGATATTTATGTAAAAATATTGTCATAAGTTCTTATAATCACTTTCAATGGTAAGTGGGCCAGTACCAAACTAGATGTTATGCATGCATGTCTTAAGTACATCATACTTAAAAGGCAGTCTTGTGCCATTTTAAAGATTAATACATTCATTTCAGTATAAGGTTCTGCAGCCTTTAGCAACTTCTCCAAGGCAATCTAGCAACAGGGGGGCAGCATCTCTTTGTTTTATTTTCATTATCTAGGGAGCCAACATGATATAGTGAATAAATTATGGAAGTAAGAGTTGGGCGACCTGAATTCAAATACCAGCTCAGCTTTGGCTTTGAAATTCATGGGAAAGGAACACTGGTAAACCATTCCTTGAATATGTCACTCGCCTTGAAGCCCTATCAGGACTGACATAAATCAGAAGTGCCTTGACAGCATATAACATCTTTATCTAAGAAGGCTTCTTAGCAGAGTCTACCTTCTTAGACATCTTGTCAAACCAGAGATTTATGCCTGCCTAATCGCTCATTATTGGGATGCTTGTTAAAAATGTAGTTCTTGGTAGTACTAATTTTCACTCAGAACATGTTCAGCTGAAATCAATGGGACTCAAAGCCTGGGGAAATGGGACTGCACTATTAGCAATCATAAATATGCACACTTGGAAGGAAGTTCAATTGGATTCAACAGGATTTACTTCACCAATAGTGACAGGTGGGAAGCAGCAACAGCTGCTGTCTTGTACACACTCAGGTGGGATTAAATCCCAGTGTATTCAATGGGGTTTATTTCAAACAAGGCATGTTGAGGATCCCATTCCAACCTTTGCAGGGTTCAGGGCCAATCAAACACCTTCTGACAATCACCAAAAGGCTGGTGAAACTGGATAGGGTTAACCTTATTGGTCTTGCCACGACTGGAAATTGTAAGTAACAACCCAAGACTTGCCCCATATTGTTCAACTGGATTTTCTTAAAGGGATCGGGTGATTACCTTAATCCGATGCAACGATCTTGAGGCCAGAATCAAAACGTGGGAGCCCTCTAAGAGTAATTAACACGGAGTTGCAAGACTGCAATTTACATTTTGGGGGTTTGCATTAACTATTTTGAGAGGGGGGGGCAACCAGTTCTATAGGACGACGCCCCTAACCAGTGCAAGCATCACCAAGGCACTCCTTGAAATGGTCTTCCACAGGGACAGTACCCGTGCTGCGAGCAAAACAACGACGAATCTAGTGTTGCCTGAAAGACAAACGAAATTCCTTTCACTCCCATCACAACTTCACATCCCATCAGATATATTCGTCTTCTACGGGCTCGGAAGGCGGGGAGCCCACCGTACTCAATCAGCGCCGTCAGAAGTCGACTAAACAACTAAACAACAACAACAAAGGTTAATTTTCACTCTGGTGGCAGATAGGCTGAAAGTCTATGCTGAAACTTTGTTTTCTGTTCTCTTACCAAAAATTGCATCATGTTCCCCATCTTGAATCCCTTCCTGCTTTTCCCCTCTTAGATGCCACTTCTTTTCTCCCCCGTTTTCCATTTGTCTAGGCAGAGGACTGAGGAAAGGCCTCCATCACGCAACCATTTTAGCCTCAGAACCCTTGTGTCTAGTTACTATGGAGACCCCTGCTGGAACCTAAGTCCCATTGTTTCTTCCACCATCACAATATGATTACAGTAGTAGTATTACCGTGTAAAGTTGGGCTGCGGAATACAAAGCCTTCCAGATGTTGCTGGATTGCAACTCCCATCAGCTCTAGCTGTTAAAACCAATGGTGATGGGAACTATGGTTCAGCAACATCTGGAGGGCCATCTGTTTGTATGTCTGATGTAGAGGCTCACGGACTCAAGGAACAGAGCCTTCTCAGTAATGCTACCATCTTGTGGAACCTTCCAGCTGAGGCCTGCCCAACCATCACTTCAGGCCTTCAAGAGACCCCTCCAGGGTCACTGTGACAGAGGGGCCATTGTGCGGTGCTATCTGGTTTTCATTTTGCTTTTATTTATTTATTTATTTACAATATTTTTAGCCGCACCATTTTACTGTGGTTCATCTTTGAGTCTTTTAAATTATTGCTGCTTGCCACCCTTTGGAAAGTTTGCCTTTTAAAAAAGCTTACAAATATCATAAATGTATTTAAAACAAATAAAGAAAGAACTACATCCTTTGTTTCATCTCCAAGGAAAAACATGCATGCTCCAGGAACATTGTCACGAATGAGGAATGCATAGGAAAGCAGACCTTTGATGAAATCCCATCCTTGGGAATGAAGTACAGTAGGCAGTGTGCATATAATGTGTGTGCTCCCCTACCCCAAGATGATATTTATGTAAAAATATTGTCATAAGTTCTTATAATCACTTTCAATGGTAAGTGGGCCAGTACCAAACTAGATGTTATGCATGCATGTCTTAAGTACATCATACTTAAAAGGCAGTCTTGTGCCATTTTAAAGATTAATACATTTATTTCAGTATAAGGTTCTGCAGCCTTTCGCAACTTCTCCAAGGCAATCTAGCAACAGGGGGGCAGCATCTCTTTGTTTTATTTTCATTATCTAGGGAGCCAACATGATATAGTGAATAAATTATGGAAGTAAGAGTTGGGCGACCTGAATTCAAATACCAGCTCAGCTTTGGCTTTGAAATTCATGGGAAAGGAACACTGGTAAACCATTCCTTGAATATCTCACTCACCTTGAAACCCTATCAGGACTGACATAAATCAGAAGTGCCTTGACAGCATATAACATCTTTATCTAAGAAGGCTTCTTAGCAGAGTCTACCTTCTTAGACATCTTGTCAAACCAGAGATTTATGCCTGCCTAATCGCTCATTATTGGGATGCTTGGTAAAAATGTAGTTCTTGGTAGTGCTAATTTTCACTCAGAACATGTTCAGCTGAAATCAATGGGACTCAAAGCCTGGGGAAATGGGACTGCACTATTAGCAATCATAAATATGCACACTTGGAAGGAAGTTCAATTGGATTCAACAGGA